GGTTCTCGTCAGCATCATGGACGCTGACGAGGCCTCCGTGTCCCGCATGATCCGCTCGACGACGCGGAGCTCTCCGCTGCCGCCGGCCGTGAGGCGCGCGACGGGCGCTCTGGACGATGGTGACTGCCCCGCCGCCGCCTTCTTCTTCTTCTCGTCGTCCGACATAGCCGCAGCGGATCAGACACCGCTCGACCACCAAGGCGCAGGATCGAACACCCGAAGCTCTGGTACCAAATGTCGTTGCCGAATCGATCGAGGAGAAAACTAGCGAGAGAGAGATAAACACACGCAAGGAAGAAGACACTGGTATATTTTGTGCCGTCGAACTCGACAGCGTTTTCTGTTATTCCTTCTATCTTTTCCTTAGCGATTACAAGGCTAACTACCTCCCGATCAGCTGCTCTAGATCCGCGTCCGTCGCCCCATCCCACGACTGCGTCACTAGTGCCATACCGATCGGGAGTTTACATCAAAACAGAAAACGGAAACTGGAGATCGTGCAACATCACGTCTCGCTACCTATCTACGTGCATGCGCATGGAGCTGTCCCATCGGACACGCATGCATGCACTTATTCTATGCTGAAACAGGTACGCAATGGAGCTGAGCTTAATTAGGTCCTACAATGGTTGATCTTTGCTATGTGGACGATGGCAGGATCTGTACCTAAGTTTGGAGATTCTGAATTAGTAAGAAAAAGATGGCAACCATTTGATTGTTTTTTTATTACTTTAGGAATATGAGGAGAGAGCTCTATTGTTGGCAGGGGCTGCATCATTATCTTTGCTATGTGGACCGATGGCATGATCTGTACCTAAGGTTGAAGATTCTGAATTAGGAAAGAAAAAGATGACAGCCACTTCGTTTCAGTACATCAGTTTACTGAATAATTCTATGCTTTGAACTGCACGATTACAGTGACAATATAACTAAATAATGGAAGAAACTTAAGGCTAGACACCACATAAATTTTCTTTTTATTTGAATTTATAATTAGGCACTTGAATTTAGCTTGATACATATCCTATGATACCTCAGAAGCCCATATTGTAAAATTTGACCAGTTCCCATAAGGCCACAACTGTATCTTATTGTAGAATTTACCTTCTCTTTTCGAATGCCCATATATTATGTTGCTCTCTGATTCAACTTATATGCATTTAGCAGCTTATCTTTATCATGTTATCCCGTTCTTACCAATACCATGTGGTAGCTAAATGTGTTGATCTACCACTGTAGTGTTAGTACTGTTTTTCAACTATTTTTTATTGGCCAGCTATATGATGTTAAGTGAATGGCTTCTATTGCCTTACAGTGGTAAACTGAAACTGAAAAGTGCCTTACATAAGGACTGATGGCGATATTATATACATGTATGTATATGTTTTTGTTAAGCAGAACACATGAGAAATCACTGATGCGCATGGATGATAGCTTTCCCACGATGAAACAAAGTTGATCTTGAAATAATCATAGCTGAGGGATTAGGTTCATAACTAAGGGTATGTGCAGAGCTGGAGGAAGAAGTTGCGAGGCTTGAAAATCTCCTTGTGAAGGGCTCAGGGACAGCAGTGGGGACAATGCCTCCTTAGTTGTAATTGTGATACTCCTGATGTGCAAATAAACACTCTTATGATACTCCTTATGCTGAAATGTTGGTTGTTAGTACATTATTTGGTTCTCTGGTATTGATTTCATGATTTGTGGTTAATACATGATGTAATACAATCCACATTGCATTATATTTCCAACTACATCTCCTACTTACTCAATACTAACATTCTTTCTATTTCGCTTCTTGCGCCATTGGCGCAACCGGGTCATCTAGTGTATAATAAAGACCCATGTAAATATGCTTGTCACAAACGCTTAGGATGTTTACATTGACAAATACATTTACTTGTGTCTTTATTATACACTCACAAGTGCAAGTGATGAATGTGTGTAGGACGTGGAGAGAGTGGATGCAACCAACTCAAGACTTGGTGTTCGCTAGTGAAAACAGAGTGATGGCTAAATCGAATTATACACTAAACTGAAGCCAAATACACTAGTGAAGATAAAGTGATGGCTAAACTGAAGCCACATACATTAGGATTTTAAAACATCCCCATCACGAGAATATTTCTGGGTGATGCAACATTAGGAGGATAAAAAATGGCTTTCAAGAACCGGATTGACCTTCAACGTTGGAGGCGTCAACACAACTGTAGTCAGCTTATTCCAAAAAGGAAAGAATAAGATCATTTGATTCAACTATGCAGCCATTGAACCACATGGCTATGCCAAACCAGCGTGAGTTGCTGGTCATTTTCAACAAAATACGCTGCTGACATATTGTCACCATTAGAAAGAGTGAGTATTGCATGCCGCTTACTAACCACCGCCTCCAAGAAAGCATCGTTCCACTTCTAGGTCATGAGATGCAAAATGATGAGTAGACTCCATTGACTCCACACGCCATGTCTGAACGGTCATGACTTATGTTTTGCTTTTCCCTTGACATGTAATTTTTTGTTGCTCTTCTTAAGGGTAATGTACATTGTATTTGAATGGTATGGATCATATTTTTTTGAGATAAACATTTTTCAAATTGTATAACATTTTTTTAAATGCCACGTACATTTTCTTGAAACATGTGTACATCTTTTAATGTCAGCCTTTTTGGATACAAACATTTTTAAAAAATTAGCAAACCTTTTTTACACAACTTGAACATTTTTTAAATATGCGATGAACACTTTTAAAACCAACTAAATTATTTTCACAATGTATGTATGTAGTATTTTTCTAAATATAAAAAAATAAAGGCGACACGCAGCTGGCCCAAAGCAAGTTAATTAAAGGCGACAGAACACGCTCACCGCGCATTGGAAGGCCGTTGGCTCTAGCGAAAGAGCATCGTGGAGTTTTTTCTTCTATTATTAGCTAGAACAAATTCATTCCATTACTGAACTGAACTCTCTTGTTGTAGAGCGAAGCGAACATGAGTTCGATATACAATTACGTTCCGTCTCTTCTTTGTCCTCTTATCCTCAAACACGCGCACGTCGCATCGATTATTCAATGCAACCGACCGATTATTAAACCAAGTAAGATTAAACAGCTGGTTTCCATCATCCTTCTGGATGCCCTCGATCAATCCATAAGACAATCTCAGCCAGCAACCACTAAACTTCTTATTTGTATTCATAAATCTCGAGGTTTTTTACTTTTAAGAGAGATGCCCATTGTCAATGGCCAGCGGAGCAACCATCCAACGAGCCTTGACCTAGCACCCATCTAGCTGTATCCGACATCGACAACGTGTAGCTCCTTAATGGCTCCCGGCCAAGCCACTAGTAGACTATTAATGGGGGGCACTGCCAGCCACACGTCTTCACGCGGACAGACTCATCCGTCCGGGTATATAAGGGGCTCCGTCTCCAAGCCTCCTCCACTCTTCACCGACAACATCGCCGGAGCCACCACAACTTCGGGTCCCTCCAGCACCTGCTCCTTTCCCCCAATCAATCGCCACGGCGACTGCCGCGCTCAGGGCCAGTTGAACACCCTTGTCACATCCATGTTCACCACAGTGATTCCACCGTCAACCCCCTACTAGCCTGTGTGGGTGCTGGCTGACTATGCCTCTAGCTTCTCGTGAAATGGTCCATCTAGGGTATGGTGGATGAGTATTTCTAGTACTTGCAGTCGATGGACGAGGATGGAAGCTCAGGCCCGGGCTTGGTCCCTGAGGTCATCAACCTCTTCATCACCAACACCAACAGGATCCTCAACGACATCGTCGGCCTGCTGTCCGCCCCCAAGACCCCCTTCTTTCCATTTGCTTTCGTCATGTCATCTTGGGTACTTATTTCGTCCGCTCTGCTTTGCGATACCCAGGAACCAGCCCATGGACTTCAACAAGGTCGACGACCCGGTGCATCAGCTCAAGGGGTGCAGCTGCAGGTGACGATGCTAAAATATTTCTTTGTCCAACCCATTTATAACTGTATGTTGTTCTCAGCCGCATCCAAGGAAAGTGAGAGCACCAGCGCCAAGTCTAGGACTTGAACCCTCATGGGATGGGCTGGGGAATACCACTATTCTCCTAACCATCCAACCACATGTTGGTTAGCGTATACATGTTCTAATATGGTGCTATGTTGATTGATCACTAGACTATGCATGGTCAGGCTCAAACCAAAATGTTAACCAGGAAATTTGATTTATAATTGTTTGTTTGTTAACTTACAATCATATCTAATGGCTATAAAAAATTGGTTTATTAATTTTACGGTCATATGTTTCTAATTATTGTGGTAATTTTTAGTCTATTTATCTTTTTTTGGGAAACCTGACGAATACTTTAATATATAATAGAAGATAGATGTGGCTCCTGTGAAAATCAATGTGCTCGTTCCAACTAATTTTTGGTGTATATAATAGATGTGGCTCCTTTCAAAATACTTTAATATATAATAGAAGATAGATGTGACAAATACTTTAATATATAATAGAAAAATAGATGTGGCTCCTTTTTGGTGTATCAAGAAGCATCGCACACTGGACAACTAATTTTCTCCGTGTGCTCATTCCGATAAATGATGCAATCGTTGATGCGTGCATAGTATCTAATGTGCGGCAAATCAAAAGGGCACACGATTTTCTTTGGCCTAAATACTACTAGGACACAAGTCTCCCGTGGAAGAACTTTCTGTAGATAATTCATTTTTTTAAACATATGAACTTTCTGTAGATACTTCATTTTTTAAACATGTGAACTTTCTGTAGACATAAGTTCTGGACATTTTGTTTTAACATGTGAACGATATTTTTAAGTGGAACCTGCACTGTTTTTAATGGTACGAAACATTTTGTTTTGGATTACACAAAAAATAATATGATGTCGAACATTTTTCGAAAAAAGTCACGTACATTTTCTTTAAATGCGTGGAAAAAAAATTAAATGTCACTTACTGTTTTTCTTTTTTTTGCGGGAAAGGAAAATTCATTCATCAAGTAATGTTGTTACAATCAGCGGCAATGATGCTCGCAATCTCGTCTGGGGGGTTTCGCAGCCGACAAGCAGTTCGCTGTTGAATTCGTCCCATTTGCGCGAGAGTGTGGCTAGCAGAGTTCATGTTACGCTTGATCTTAACTAGTTGAATACTCCTTGCTTGAGACAGCAACAATCTAATCTCCATTATTCTGTGGCTATGCGCTGAACGATCTTGTTCTATAGAAGAAATCAAATGCACAGCCTCTGCACAGTCGGTCTCCACTATGAGGTCCACCTCAGTCCAGCTTAGGGCCAATATAATACCTTCATGGATTGCCGCCACTTCTGCTTCCAGCGCATCAGTGCAGTTCACAAGTCCTCTAATAGCAGCAAGCATCACAGTCCCATTACGATCCCGAAGAAGCATGCCCGCCCCTGCTGTACCGTCAGGGGCCATGAACGACCCATCCACATTGAGCTTTGCCCAACCGGCTACCGGCGCCTGCCACCGTTCCACAGGCAGCGTAGGCTTCATCTTGCACGCAGGTTCACCAAGATAATCAACAACAAAATTACCTTTGATTTCATCAGCCTCGGGGTACTGTTGCAGCATCAGAAGCGAGGTTAAATAGTTTGCAAGAAACCTACGTGAGACCTCAATCGGGATTGCCGGCTTGTGGTGAGTTATTTCATTATGCACATGCCACGCCCTCCACATAGTCATCAGAACCATGGTACGTTGAATTTCAGTTAACTTCTCAAGGAGGCGAAAAATCCACTCCGGCTCCCTGTCCTGAAGGTCATCACTATTTGGGATGTCCCAAACCTCCCTCATGGCGTTCCATAGGCCTGCGGCATCTGGGCAGCTAATTAGCGCATGATGAGCATCCTCCACATCACTCCCACATATTGTACAGGCCTGAACCTCCTGCATGTGCCTAGACTTCATTGTTGCTTCAGTGGCCAGGGCTTCGTGTGCAGCTTTCCACGCAAAGATGCGCACTTTGGGTGGCACTTGGCTCTGCCATATGAGATCCCAGGCTGGTCGTCGGCCATCCGGACGAGAGCTAGTCGCTCCTGGATCATTAGCAGTCATTTTTTCCTGTAAACCAAGAAAATAAGCACTTTTGACCGAGAACAGCCCCTGTTTACCTGGAAACCAAGCCAGGACGTCAGATTCCAGCCACCGAGAGGGCTTAATTTTCAATATCTCATCAATGTCGACTTGAGAAAAATGTTGTTGTAACAACCCCATATTCCAAGAGCCATCTGTGTTCAGTAGATCTTTAACCCACTTGAGGCGGCATCGACGTTTAGGGGTAATGGGTCGGCACGAGGGGCCTCGAGGGATCCAGGGGTCTCTCCAGATCCGGACTGTTGCACCATCACCTATGCGCCAAATGATTCCCTTCTTCATCAGTTCAAGGCCAAACTCGATTGCCTTCCAAGTTGAGGACCCATTTCCAGTAAAGACCGTGTCCACCAGCAGACCATTTGGAAAATATTTTGCTCTGAGGATTTGGGCGCATAAACTTTCAGGATTTTCTATTAACCTCCATGCTTGCTTTGCTAATAGAGCTTGGTTAAAAAGTTGTAAATCTCGGAAACCCATACCACCACAAGCTTTTTGCCGGATCATACAGTCCCATGAGATCCAGTGTGTACGCCTCTGATTTTTGCTAGTACCCCACCAGAATTCTCTGATCATTTTCATGAGTTCTTCACATAGTCCCGCAGGGAGTTTAAATACTCCCATCACATAGGTCGGTAGAGCTTGAGCGGCCGCCTTGATGAGTATTTCTTTTCCACCATTGGAAAATTCTCCCCACTGCACCATTCTTTTTAGGAGCTTAGCCTGGATGGTTTGGAACTTCCCTCGTGACATTCGGCCCTCGGGGGTTGGGAGACCCAAATATTTAGTCTCAAACTCTACTTGTGTAATGTGCAGCACAGCTTTGACCTCCTCTTGGATAGCACTAGGGCAGATCTTCCCAAACATCAGCGAACATTTATCAACATTTACCAATTGGCCTGTACCTTGAGTATAGGTATTGATCACATGTTGAATCCGCAAGGCTTGCTCAGACTCAGCCTTGAAGAAGAGTAACGTATCATCGGCGAATAACATGTGAGAGATACCCGGGGCTCGACGACAAATTTTCAAGGCCACAATCCGGTTATCATTAATCTCTTTCTATAGCAAAGCTGAGAGGCCATCTGCGACAAACAAGAATAGGAATGGTGTCGGTGTCAAAACCGGCGGATCTCGGGTAGGGGGTCCCGAACTGTGCATCTAGGCCTGATGGTAACAGGAGGCAGGGAAGACTTTGTTTTACCCAGGTTCGGGCCCTCTCGATGGAGGTAAAACCCTACTCCTGCTTGATTAATATTGATGATATGGGTAGTACAAGAGTAGATCTACCACGAGATCAAGGAGGCTAAACCCTAGAAGCTAGCCTATGGTATGATTGTTGTGTATGGAGTTGATTCTGTCCTACGGACTACAACCCTCCGGTTTATATAGACACCGGATAGGGCTAGGGTTACACAGAGTCGGTTACAATGGTAGGAGATCTTGAATATCGCATCGCCAAGCTTGCCTTCCATGCCAAGGAAAGTCCTATCCGGACACGGGACGAAGTCTTCAATCTTGTATCTTCATAGTCCAGGAGTCCGGCTGAAGGTATAGTCTGGCTACCCGAACACCCCCTAATCCAGGACTCCCTCAGTAGCCCCTGAACTAGGCTTCAATGACGACGAGGCCGGCGCACAAATTGTCTTCGGCATTGCAAGGTAGGTTGCTCCTCCCAGTCCTTCATAGAAGATTGTAAACACCAAGAGTAGTGTCCGGCTTTGCAAAATAAGCTTCCACATATTGCCATAGAGAGAATAATATTAACACAAATCAAATCTGCTGACGTATTCTGCAGTGCGCCATCACACTACAGCCAAGCCCTTTACTCAAATCATTTTTACTTTTCCACCTCAGCATGTTTTGCGAGGCGGTTTCCTTGGCACGTCTTGTCAAAGAAGAGATCGCGTACCCTTTTTACGGGATTCTCATCAATACGGACGTGGGTAACCCAACCGCGCCATTTATCACGGCGCTCGGGAGGCAAGCGAGTTTTATTAGGCAGGTGGGGACGCATAACCGCATCCGTCTATATAAGGGGATAAGGATCCACCCTTTTTAACTACGCCTTCTTCCTCCCTTGCCTACCCATGGCACCCGAGCTCCAGCGCCCAAGCCCACACTTCCCACCTCAACCTTCTCCGGCAATGTTCGGAGCGGGAGGCAAATGGATGGTCTCCTCTGTTACGGAGGGTAAAATCAAGAAGCTAAGGAAGGTCGGGTATCTATCCAAGGACATCGCGTACCGGCTTCCCGAGGAGGGGCAGCTTATCCCCACCCCAAGGCCCCATGAGAGGGTGGTATTTCTCCTCCACTTCCTCCGCGGACTGGGTTTTCCACTCCACCCATTTGTCCGGGGGCTCATGTTCTACTACGGCCTGGATTTCCACGATCTGGCTCCGAACTTCATCCTCAACATCTCGGCGTTTATCGTCGTGTGCGAGGCCTTTCTCCGCGCCAGCCCCCATTTTGGCCTCTGGCTCAAGACTTTCAACGTCAAGCCCAAGGTGGTGAGCGGAAGCCAGGCGGAGTGCGGAGGCGCCATGGCGGGCAAGATGGCCAACGCCCTATGGTTCGAGGGCTCTTTCGTGGATACCCTAAAGGGATGGCAATCTGGGTGGTTTTACATCACCAAGCCACGCGATCCAAAATGGACCGCGGCCCCCGAGTTCCGATCTGGACCCCCCACGCGGCTTGTGTCCTGGAAAGAGATGGGCCTGTCGTGGGGTGACGAAAAAGAGGTGACCGGATTGCAGCAGCTTGAGAAGAAAGAAGGTAAGAAATACCTTATAAAAAAGTGCCTATGGAGAGGCGTGATTGCAAAAAATAACAGGATTGTGCTGCTTATTGTAGGGGCCACGACTGAGGTGGCGACCCTCAAGCAGGCGCTGTCCGAGGCCGAAAAGAAAACGGCCGCGGAGTGCACCGAGCGAGAGAAACTTGGGGCTCAGGTCGGCGAGGTGCAGCAAGAGCTTCAGGCTCTCATGAAAAAACATGAGAGTTTGGAGCTTGAGTCGAAGACCCAAGCGTCCGAGCTCGCGACAGCCCTTGAGACTGCCAAGTCTGCCAAGGCCGAAGCCCAAAAGGCCCTCCGAGAGTTGGAGGATATGAAAAAGATAGTAGCGGGTAAGGCATTATTTATGCAAAGCAGAAATATAAAAGTAAACTACTTGTTACTTACCCGAATCCGGAGTTCTCCAGGGGCATTCGCAGATCTTCCCCGCAGCGTATCCGATGCCGCCGCATTCTACCGAGCTGAAGAGGGCAACTCAACAGAGAAGGTGTTCTGGTCTCAGTATGCTGAGGCCGGACACCCTGTGCCCTTGAGCGACCAGCTGAAACAGCTGGTCGAACTCCACAACGCGGCCGAACAGGCCATGAAGGGCTTCATAGTTCGGGTGTGGCCCGGAGAGGCCCTGCCTGGGAGCTACTTCGGGCTGGTGCGGCGGCTGGTGGAGGCCTGTCCAAGGCTCGAGGTCATCAAGCGCTCCGTCTGCATCGAAGGTGCCCGTAGGGCCCTTGCCCGTGTAAAGGTGCACCGGGGTAAGCTGGACGGTGAGAAGCTTGTGACAGACGGGCCGCCGCCGGGGAAGGATCATCGCAAGCCGGAGAACTACTATAACGATGTTCTTGTGGGTGCCCGCCTTGTGGCGGATGAGTGCACCAAGGATGTAATTTTTGAATGAATTCGCTCGTGTTTATCCCGTGCGCTGAAAACTTGTTCATATGCGCTAAGCAATGCTTATTGAATTTAAAATATTATTTTCTGTGCGGTCGTTTATCAAAAATTGAGAGATGGCCAGTCGTCGGCTTCTGCCCCCATGCCACTAGTGCTGGGGTGTTCGGTGATAAACCTGGGCGCTCTTTTTCCCATGGTTGGGTCCTTCGAGGGAGGCGCTCAGCACGACGAACCAGGCAATCGGACTATAATGCTTGAATACTCTCACTTAGCCACAGAACTTTATAATTTTAAATTTCGGCGAAGCCCCTCGTTTGGAAGACCGAGTTCGGGGCGCTATCCACGCCTTGGCTGGGGTTATCCAGCTCCTCGCTCGAAGCGGCATAAGCCTTTAGGGACTCGAAAAACCTGTCGAACAGCGACCGGTCTCTCGCCTCATCATGACAGTCAGTTTTAGCTTTCTCCACTGAGGTGCTTAACCCAGCTCAACCGGGGCACAATCGCAGTGGTTCTCCTAGTGCTACCTTAGCCGATATAGCGGAACGTAAGGTACCAAAACATAGGAGCCGGGCAAACCCAACTATTGACCCAAATCATGATTCGGAGCCGATGCATG